CCACCCTCCCCACTCCCCAAAAAAGAAAAGCAGAGGGAATGGAAGCAAATATTGTTGAATAATGATGCACAGAGGAGATTGCAATCATTGCAATGAAAAGATGGTGTAAAGCCGATGTTCTCCCATGTAAACTATCACTCAGTTCACAATAAAAAGAAAAGAAAAACAGTCATTTCCAGTCCAACACAAGCTGTTAAGAGGGAGAAATATACAAAAGGCTATCTGCAACAGCAATGCGCACAGGTTGCATTTGACAAACACTGATTAAGTGATTCAAATGATTAAGGAAAAGGATGGAGGTCAGACAGAGTCTACCCAGAGATGCTTTGGAAGAATTTCCTGCCAATCTACTTCCCCAAACTCAGCCAGTGTAAACTCTTATGAAGCACAATGCTACTCTGACACATATGAGGTCACCATGACTCGAGGTCTACGCCATAGCAACTGATCTTTTTGGTACTGTTACAATAGGAGTTCTGCGGTTCTGCAGAAGAAAGAGGAGGCGGTCTGCTCCCATAAAGATTTACAGCCTCAGAAACCCAGTGGAGGGTCGCTAAGAGTCGGAACCGACTCCAAGGCACATAACAACAACACAATAGGAGTAGGGGTTAGGATGACCTGGGTCCCTTCAGGGAAGGAGCTTTTTTCAAAAGATGCTTAGAAGACTTTCTGAGCAAAGACAAGGCAGTTGGAAAGAGTCCCAAGCATGTGAGGAGACGCCTAGGCTGCAGACAGGGGGGAGTTTCTATTCTTGTGGGTATCAGTTCCTTTTTGCATATACAAGCTCCTTGTGTGGGTTTGCCATCTCCTGAGGCATAAAGAGGAGGGCCGATCAGATAGCCCACAGGACTCCAGGAAGCTGGATTTGACCCTTGAGTAGGGGATGAGTTAAAGAGAATAATCAAAATGACTTTTTATCTATAAAGATCACTTAGCCCAAAACAGAACTGATGGTAACGGACAGAAAGGAGCTAGATCCTCTACTGTGCACACATTTGTGCCTGCTCTGCTAATCAAAATGACTTTTTATCTATAAAGATCATTTAGCCCAAAACAGAACTGATGGTAACGGACAGAAAGGAGCTAGATCCTCTACTGTGCACACATTTGTGCCTGCTCTGCTGAAAGACCTATGCATGGGCTAGTTGGGGGTGGGCGAGATGCACGACAGGAAGCGGGTGGTGGGGGTGGGGGTGTCATGCTGCATCCTTGTGAAGAGAGACTGGACATGGCTAGGCCACATTGAGCACACAGAATTGTAAGACTTGGTGACAAGTGACTCTCTGTCAGGGGAGAACAAGGATCCAGGAGTGAATCCTGTGACAGTTTTTGGCTCACACACAAGGACCCAGTGGCCTCTAGGGCTGAAGACAGCACAGGGCTGTGACAGGTCTGACTACAAAGCGAGGACACATTTGTTTGTATACAAGTAATGTGCAGCAGAGCTCACTGATACCTAACTGCTATCTAGCTGCTGTCTAACTGTCCTGAGGTGCAGCGCAGCTCACTGTCAGGCAAAAAAACTGACAACCACCTCAGTATGAAGCAATGGGATCAGTCAGACAAATGGTAGGCTATGCAGCCCTTGGAACAATGATACTGAAACAGATAGAATGTGACTAATATCCAGTGGGAATATTTAACACAAAACAACACCCCCA